CTCCTCATAAGACTTGTTCTCTAGACCCTTCACCAGCTTCGTTGCCCTTCTCTGGACACGCTCCAGCACCTCAGTGTCCTTCTTGTAGTGAGGGGCCCAAAACTGAACACAGTATTCGAGGTGCGGCCTCACCAGGGCCGAGTACAGGGGCACGATCACCTCCCTACTCCTGCTGGCCACACTAGTTCTGATACAGGCCAGGATGCTGTTGGCCGCCTTGGCCACCTGGGCACACTGCCGGCTCATGTTCAGCCAGCTGTCAACCAGCACACCCAATGTCATTACGCTTATCCATGAACTGACTATAGCTATATGGGCAAAATTTTTGGTCTTCGAGACCAAAATTTCTACAACAGCCAAGTTTCACATAGGCTAAATAAACCCCCAAAACCCCCTCTCCTGGTACGTCCACCATGAGAGATACGAACGTATGTAAAGATGGGAATGTCCCTTGGACAGTTAGGGCCAAGTTTTTGCAACTCATCTTTAGAGTAGCCTTGAAATGAAGAAAAGAAGACAGAAAAGGAAATGGAGGAGTACAGAAAGAGAGGCATGGACAGGTTAAGTGAGAAATTCAGGTAGACAAAAGGGGACACAAATCAGAAGATACTAAATGTACTGCTCCATCACGCAGAAGGGAATCAAATATTTAAATGGGCCAAAGAGGGAAAAGACTCGGCTACTTCCTCAGTAGCCATTGCTGCGCTGTCACATGAGAGTATTTCTTTTAAACTGTGGTTTATTGAAAGAAGAGATGTTTGCATGTAATAAAGTAACATTGTCTAGAAATTTAGCTCAAAACCTTATTTCTATTCTCATATTCATTTTCCCACAAAAAAGCCCTTTTTACCAAAAAGCATGTGCAGTGTTTCCAATCTCGAAGACAAATGTGCAGCTTTAGGAGATACGTAATATTTTGAATTAAGTCTAATGTTTACACCTGTAAGTGCATGTGGACAAGCTGTTTCTGCATGGAATAATCCAACTTGATTTGCTTGATAGATATAGATATTAATATATATCTATATTTATAGATATACATATATTAATTTTTCATTCATGGCTTTCTTTGTGCACAATGTAAAATCACCACTGTGAACAATACTAGCATTCTTCCTGCCATTCCACCTGCATGCCAGATATCTTTTCACACCGACTCCTCTACATCCAAATATCCAGGCTATTTCTACATCTTGTCAAATCTTTCTTCAGGATATTTGTAATATATAGTCCTTCCTGTCTATCCCACCCATGTAAGCTCTCACAAACTTGCGTCTTGGTTACTCCATACTCCTTTTCTCTGATTTTGGAAAAAAACGCGACATGTTCTAGTCACAATTGTCATGACTGATTTTGTTGGTTTTGTATGCTATCACTTTAGCCATGTCACTCCTCCCATAGCATCACTTTTCCCTTCTTTATGGCATCAATAATAAGCTATTTTCATTTTCAAGAGTGTTTCAAGTTCTCTAACCAACTACTCAACTCTTTCACTAGTACAATGCCAGTTTTTACTGTCTCCTGATTCAGCCTATGTCTCCCATTGCAATTTTCTACCTTAATTTTCTCACACACCACCACTCACAACTTGGAGAAGTCTCCCATATACATCCACAAAGCTACCTGATGGCATTCCTTAGAAGTCTTCCTTAAAAGACTCCTTTTACTCTGCTGCCTACAAAGAACAGGACATGAAACTCCTGTTGTGCTTAACTTCTTGCCTATTTTCCATGTTAATGGTTTTTCACTGTCTCCCTCTATTTCCCCAGCTACAATTTTGCTTTTGGTTTTGAGTTTGTAGTGAATGCAATCTAAAGATACGTATTATGTTACATATTATAACGTGGATGCTCTGTTAATAAAACCATTGTTGATGTCTGCCTTGCAGTTATAGCATTGCACAAACGTGGTAATTTAACATGACCGACAGATACCCTTCTCTTGGAAGAGAAAATTAATAGGTCAGTGAAACTTTGACTATTATTGTATTAATTAAGTAGTTTCCAGCAATCTTTCCAAAGGAGTACTATTAAGACATCAGAACTTTAACATCAGCCTTCATGTTTCTACAAACATATTAATAACGCATTCCCTATTATTAATTACCACTCCTCAAAGCTGGAAAAAAGCCCTAACAAGCTGAGAAAAATGATCTCTTTCTAGCTTATGACTCGTCCAGCATCTTCAACCCCACCTTTAAGATAACACTAATTTCAAATTTTCAAACTCATGTTTGAGAAGGCCAAAGTACTGTATATGAACAAACTTCTACATCCGTGAAATAGAAATCCATTTTATATCTGCATCCAAAGGAAACTTGGTGTTGACTGTGTGAAATAAAGTCCTGCATATGGTCATACCTTCACTTGGATTTTTTCATTATTTTGCATTGCTTCATAGCTTGTGCTTATTTCCTTTAATTTTTTAAAAAACACACACCGAGTCAATGTGAGATGGTTCAAGAGCAAATAACAAAAAAGATTTATTTTCAATCCTGAGAGATATCTTGTACTAGCACGGCACACTTTACAGAAAATGAAACGTGATTTTTTCTTACCTCTCTGCAAGTGTTTGTTGTTCATTGATTCCGACATTAAAGAGTACTGGATACATGCGAAGTAGCTTTCCTTCTTTAATCTCTTGTGGCAGCAACTCAAACATCTTTGCTGGAAGCTGGACCTCTATAATGTAATGTTCACTAGGAAAAATAAAAAGAAGAGTAAAGATGGGAATATTGATTGGTTTGCTTGAAATTATAACCTTCTTAAATTATAGAGAACATATAGGCTTATAAATCAGTTTCCCCCTTTTCCCCTTAATTGTATTGAACCATAAAATGTGACGATTCAGCTTGCTTGTTTTAAGAGCATAACCAAGCTATACGGAAAAAGGCAGGTATATGTAATTACACACTCTTGATACTGACTTCTTTACTGAAGTGAAAATAGGACTAAAGATGAAAGCAGTAAAAGTCTTCTGCTACCAAAATATCAATGAGAACACCTCGACTCTTAAAATGCATCTTGCTGAGTTACAAAAACAACTTCCTTTCAGAAGCCACAACTTGATCCTGTATCCACTCTAAATGTAATATGAGCAAAAACCTTTCACAAAAACCCAAAGCAAAATTACCATTTTCTTCAGTGGATGGATTTTCTCCCTGGGGATAGAAAGCATCACCAATAACAAAATTGACTCTGTGAAGATAATAATTGAAGGCTCATTACACAAACATGAATCCTATTTTAGGAGAAGGGATATGATATATAGCAGTTCTGGTTTTATGTTTGTGTTTGGTCTGTCTTTATGAAAAACCTGTTACTTTGGTTGCCAGTCCAAATTCTGATCATGTGGAACCCCCAAGCTGAATTTCACCTGTCTTTGAGAATTGATGCCTGACCCCACAACAGAAACAATGGCATACTGTTAACTTAGTTTTTATTAGGTTTCTTTCTGTTATTAGAGCAATCAGTCTAACAAAGAAAGAACAGACTAGAAGAAAATCCGTTTGTCTCCAGGATTTGGCATTTTAATCATTCAAAGAGGGCCAACTGATAATGAAGACTGAAATTTTCTCTCCTGCAGAGCACATTTGGTATACCACCAAGAAGGAAGAGTATTACAGCAACAGGAGGGAAGGAGGATCTATATCCTACCTACAGAAACCAGGCCTAGGAAGTCACACAAGTTTTGCATGTAAACTTAAGATGAAAAACTGTTCGCACCTATTAAAATAATCTATCATGAAGACTTCTGTTCGCACCTATTAAAATAATCTATCATTATAGAAGACCCTCCAACCCTATTTTAATCAATCATGTGCTTGCTAAAGAATTAAAATACAATCTGGATTAGCCATGTATAGAATTTGGGGAAGAAAAGGCAGAAAACCTTGAAGAAAAAGGGCAGTTTCTGCAGTAGCTCTGACACCCTTGGCAAGCTGGGGGGATGAGTGGCACTATCTCAGAGTAGGTGTTTGGATAAAGAGCTTCAGCTTAGAAGACCTAGCGGTAATGTTTGAACCTCTATCCTGCCCACATGTCTGAGAACAAAATAAAATGGATCCAGTACAGGCTTGTGACATTCAGCTAGGACAACAGCATATGCTTTGGTACGGGCTAGAAGTAGTGTGTAATCTTTGAGCAAATGCCTGGTGCTCCTGACTGAGGGGGGTTATCAGTTTTGAATGGAGGATACATGTCCGGGAGTGGGAGCAAAGGGGGGAAAAAAAAAAAAAGTTCTACTCCCCAGATAAGTCTATTTGGTTTGTGTTTTGTTTAATTAATTCACCCATGTGAAGGAAATAGAGAGTTAGCAAGGATGACAGTAAAGAACTCCGTACAAATGATCTTTGCATAGCAGCATTCATTCTCCGCCTGCGTGTGAGCACTCCTAGCTGCTGTCAAGTGCTACGAGAATGTTCTTCTGTGATGGAGTGCTTTCACGAGGCTGAGAAGAAATGTTGGTTTAGTCTAATTCAAAGAGCATACGCTACTGAACCAAAATGCCACCAAATCACTGCATTGCTACATTTCACACCCCCAAAATCACTACAAATCTTTCAGTGTGTGAAAGAACATCGAGAAATGCTGAACTTTAGGCACGATAAATTAACATCAGTACCATTTGAGTACTTACAGGTCCTATGCTTTTACTTAAACAAGAAAGAGTAATATAGCAGTAAATTTTATCACCATGTAGCTTCTCTCTTTTATGGTTAGACTCAGTGCAGAGACACCAGGTGATTTTGGCATGAGATAGATAGAACCATAGAATCATTAAGGTTGGAAAAGACCTCTAAGATCATCAAGTCCAACCGTTAACCCAACACCACCATGCCCACTAAACCATGTCCCTAAGCGCCTCATCTACACGTCTTTTAAATACCTCCAGGGATGGTGACTCCACCACTTCCCTGGGCAGCCTGGTCCAAGGCCTGACCACTCTTTCAGTAAAGAAATTTTTCCTAATGTCCAATCTAACCTTCCCCTGGCGCAACTTGAGGCCATTTCCTCTCGTCCTAGATAAGGCGGCTACTACATTTTCCAATGAGAAGGAAAAATCAGTAGATAATTTTTAACATTTAATGATCTCTTGGGAAAACACAGGGTGGAGAAATCCAGTGTGTTTAAGAGAGTAAATAATAAATCATCTCTTTCAGAACGAATTGTATAAATTTAGGTATTAAATATTTAAATGTATATGATTTCACCAAAACAGGACTGGCTAAGAATATCCCTTTCTTTGCCTTGATTTGCCTTATTCTCTAGTATTTGTTATCATCACATATGAAGATAGACGAACATTTGCAGTCCTGTTAGAAAGCTTCTAAAAATTACCCCCGCGCAGCTGCAGGCCATGGACCCTGCAGCTACTCGCAGCTGGCTGAAATTGCTTTTGAACACTCTTAGTTCGTTGCAATAAACACAAAACAAGTCATTTACACACACCTTTGCTTTGTTATAGAAAAAAAAAATGCACACACGGTCAGTCACTGCACCTCAGCTGGGAGGTGCTTTACCCAGCTCTTCTTTCAGCTCAGTGACAACTTTTTCGATCACTTCAATGTGGCTGTAAGTGCTAGTCTGATTGTGGGCTTCATTGAAAGCACAGCATCAAACCTTGTGTTGCCTCAAAGCTCACGTGCACAATCAAATACATTCTATCAAAGAATTTTATAAAAGTTAGTGTTAACTATTTTTGCCTATAATAAAAGAACCTGAGTGCCTGAACAGAGCTTCACTGCACCTGGATGGTCGGGGTCAGCCACCCACATCAGCAGGTTAGCGCACTGCTAGTCAACGCCATGCTCTTTGGATTGATTTGTTTGTGTACATAGAATCTCAGTCGTAAGCACTTCCCTAGAAAAACAATTACAAGCGAATACTCTGACTCTGCAAGATAAGAATTTGTAGCTTAATTTTCTGTCTTGCATTTCTACAGTCTTTTAGTCTCTTTTTATCAAGCCACACCGTACAACAACCAAAATGATCTAAAAATCGTGGAGTTTTTAAACATTAATTAGAAAATAGCTAGGTTTTCCACTGTCTTCTCTTTTTATGGTTGACTTCCAATGCTGCCTGATAAGGAGCTGTCTCATTACAGCTCTAAGAGGAATAGGGCTCCTCCACATAAGCCTTAAAGATTTTTTTTTTTCTTTTTGTCTGATACCGATTCCATCCAGTGAATACCTGCCAGTAAGTACAGTACAGCAATCACAGGCAGTAACTCTTCTTCCTAAAGACTGACTACTCCATCAGTCCAGAATGCCTGAGGCAGCTGAAAGCTCGAGTCTCTTTCAAACCCAGGACCTCCTAGCGTGACACTTCAGTGTACTGCAGTAATGGCAGCAAGCCAATAAATGTAGCTGCTGGATTTTTCAAGATTTTTGACTGCTGTGATTTACAAAGGATGTATTTCTTCTGTTTTATCTACGTACCATAATTATTCTTAATTATTCCCGATGTGTTGCCTATCATACTCCGGCCTTCCTGCTATTTATTTCAATCCTTTCTCGGAAGGCTCATAGGATGAGAGTGAATCATCCAGAATAATTAAGTAAATCAGTGGTGAAAGCCCCCTTCAGAGGAAACATATCTTTTCTAAAAGTTGCTGCTTTTAGCTGAATTTAATTTACAGTCATCTTAAGAATAATGATACTATTAAGGAAGTGATTTCTGCAAAAGTAAAAACATTTCGAGCTTCAGACTAGAATAATAATGTAGATGAAAAACGCATTCCTCCCACATAACAATCTTGTTAACCCTCTTATAGCCACAATTAATGAAGTATTTCAGTTTATGTCCTGATCTTCAGCAGTGCTTATGCGAGATGCATAATGTATTAGTGGCTTTATGCAAGGATTTCTGAAGTTGCGTATGTCCTGTGTGATCTTCAGCAACTAAGATAGGCTTCATTTTTCAACAGTAACCACTACGTTTTGGCATCCGAGTTTTTCAGTTTCTGTCTTAAGACAATCACAGCCTAACTCTTCGAAATGCAACTTCATTTGTCACACTGAAATACAAGTTCTGGACACCTGAAAAACAAGGTTTCTTCAGTTAAAGGCCACTTTTGTAAATATTGACCTTGTCACTTCTCTTTGATTCAGTATCTATACATGAAAAATGCAACAGAAACTCTGCACAACCCAGACACTGTTTTGATTAATTTGTAGTAATACAATTGGAACTTTCAGCTTTTCATCAGGAAAGTGACCCAGAGCCCGTATTACTATTAGCTCTACAAGCCCCTACTACCTCATTACACCTCCATTCACCTCATGAAAATGAAAACTCCTGCACTTTCCACACAATAGAACTCAGCAACAAGAAAACCATTATCTGGGTTTTCACGTGCTACAGATTAAAACTACATGCCATGGGCTCCAGGAAACAAAGTTCTTACCGCCTTCCAGTTACAACAGGCAAAAAATCTTCTGACTTGGCTTCAATGACTTTAAACATTACTTTCTGCAAATCTGAAATCCCCACAGCCATGTCTTCCAGCATCCCCGCTTCTTCACCTATATGGAAAGATTACAGACGTTATTAACAGAGTAGATGGATCAGTCACTGAATAGGTTATAGTAAAGCAATACAGGGATTATATTTTCCAGTCTGTGCTTCTAAAAATCACAGCCCTAAATCCACATTAAGGTAACCTACATAAAAGCAGACTGATTTTTAGAACTGCTGACAATTCTCTGTGGCCTAAATGATAACTATGAGTACCAAGCACCTCTGAAAATCAGCCTACTCTATATGTGCATAGAATAACCTCAGGAAAGCCATTTTTGTCTATTCTGAAAGTGTTTTTAAAGACTGTCCTGCTGATGGAGGACAAAGGTTTTGAGAATAACAACAATGAGTATCATGCAAAAGGGAGCCTGACAGCAATCTCCAAGTGAGGATCTGCAATTGCCTGTGCATTAGAGAGCTGCACAAATGCTAAATCCCTCTACTTTGGTCAAAATCTCCAATTTGGGGAAGGATTCCAACACATCTAGTTCAAAGCTTTTTGAAACATACGGCAGTTTCCCGCTCCAGATGTCCTTTTTAATACCTATCAAATGATGGCATCTGTAACAAGCTTGGGATCAAACAGTTTTCAAGCTATCTTCACATAACCAATACTGGCGTGGTCAGGGCAAAGGCTGATAAGAGTCAGTAACTGTTTAAATCTGCTGTTTGAGTTAGCTTTATAAACCTGCTATTTTGGGTCAGGCCAAATGCCTAAACAAATGGAGACAGTTTTTATTAAACCCAAAAGTTCCACTAGCTGTACTGGGGAAGGAGTCTCCTGTATTTAAGACAATGTAGTTCAGCACTCTGCATGCAATAATTAGAAACTAGTGTTCTCACAGGAGTTCAGAATAAAATAAATGAGTAATTTTTGATGCAGAATTGACAACACAGTATCAATGACTTCAACTGTGCTATTATATGGAAGCCTACTGTCTCCTAAGGATAATACTTGTTGATTCAACAAGCCAAATTACTGGAAGCAGAACAGAGGTTAAAATAAGAACCTAACCTCCTGGGTAAACTTCTGGTCTGCATGCAAAGGGAACTTTGTCCAAGAACAATACTTACTATACGTACTAAGGAGTCCTTCATATTGCACAAGCAATCCAACAGTATGAAGCTGTTGTAAAAATCCTTGATCATGTAAACCTGTGTGCAATTTGATTATAAACCCACAGACCAATCCAGCGAGCTATAAAGACAATGAAAAAACGTGAAATTATCAGATGTGCTGTTATAACATAGTTAAAATGAGGCTTGCTATCATTATACACAACAGAAGTAATACTAAGGTATTTGAGAAAACAGCACAGATATTTCTGTTTAGTGACTACATACATAATTTCCTATTAATACATTATTGAGGCACTTTTTGGTGTAAAAAGCAGTGAAATAGTTCCTTATTTTACATTAGATACGCTTAATTTGTTTTGTGGGGTTGTGTGTTATTTACACTGATGTAAGCGAGACCAGAACCTCCGTTGGCACGTTATAAACACATAAGGCTGTAAATTATGATGGATTTGAAAGCAGTTGGGCACCTAATGCAACGGACTCTCCTTGGCAGTTGCACCCTAACTCCTTAATTATGTTAGGAAAAACATATAACTTAAGGGGAAATTAGACGAAACATTTAGAGAAAAATCTATCTGGAAAACAGGATCTACAGGAGAAGATCAAAAGAACTTCAGTTATTTACCAAGAGAAGACAAGTCTGAGAAGAGACATGCTAATAGTCTTCAAAACACATAAAATACTGCTACAAACTGAAAACAAATAATCTGTTCTTCATTACCAAGGTGACCAGGAGAAAAAAAAATACCTAGCTTGAATAGTAGCAAGGAATATTCAAGGCTAGACTTGAGAACTTCACTTATGGGTGAGGATACTGGCATATAATCTAGGAAGACTAAAAATAGCTTTAGGGATCCTTCTTTGTGCAAAAGGGAGAAAAGGTGACCTTTTCCAGTCCATTGCAGACCTACTTCTCTGACTCAGTGATACAGTAACTATGGATTTCCATTTACCATTAATTTCTCCATCACATTATAGAATATTTAAGTGGATGTAATGGAAAATATATGAAAAAGGTGTGTTAAACTGGCAAAAGAAAAAAAAAAACCAACAACAAAAAAGAAAAACACAAACACTGGCATGAATAGTATGCTTAATTATAGCAACGGTAGGAAGCAAGTGACACAAGACAACCTACTGCTTGACTGAAGACGATGTCTCTTCTTAGGGTCAGCATCAAACATTGTGGCAAACCACAGGCAAGTTCCTGGAGCAGAACAAATGCCATCGATTGCTTTGCCCTGGTCACCACCTCTCCCATGCAGTCCTTCAGCGTAATCACCAGGGGATAAAGCTGTTCATACCAGTCACCTAGAACAAGACAGATCATCCGTTCCAAAACAGAAAACTTGCAGTGAAACTCCTTTTCGGAACTGAAAGAGAGCTGCAGTGGCTTGCGTAGATCATCCTACACTTAAAAACGACCCTGCAGCTCTATCCTAACCATTGTGGTACAGCAAACACCATCGGAGAATATGCTCAGAGGTAGGACTCCAGCTTATCACTGAGACTGGGGCTAAATCCTTGGCCTGAATCCAACTAGACCCTGAAACAGTGACTTTTTAACAGACCTAACTTCTCCGTAAAACTTGCATTAAAGTGTCATAAACAAAGCATACAAGGATACATGTGAAAACTCATTTAGCACAAGATGAGTACAGCGGAGATGAAGATCTCCTGTTCTTTCCAGCACTGACAACTTGCTATCTAAACAAACGAAGTACCATCAAAAAAAAAAAAGAAACAAAAAAAAGAGGGTGGGGGGGGGGGGGGGGGGGGGAGCCTATATTTAAGAAAAAGTGGGTGCCGGAAGGCAAAACAGAAGAAGAAATAGATATCTGAAAGGATATTATCTGTTTAATGTATAGTCTGGAAAAATACTAACCTTCAGGTCACATTTCTTTTTCTCTCTATATTGGTCTCTTTAAATATTTAGAGATATTGAACTCATTATTTTTTTAGCTACTTTGAGCAGAGAGATTTAGAACTATTTTGTAATATGTTTTGCTCTGTTAGAATATATGTTAGGGATATCAGAAAAAAAAAGCTAGTGAAATGCTTCAAAAATGGGAATCCTTAATATATTACAAATGAAACGAAATGATAACTAGAAATGGAGGAAAATCAGAACAGCTTAATCAAACTTGCCCAATTACCCAAGTTGCTCCTGAATTTTTCAGGATTTAATAAAATCATACCTGCATTGTACTTGCATATGGTTTTGCCTACTCCTCTAAGCTGAGCAAATTAAAAAAAAACAAAACAAAACAAAACACCCTCCTTTAGAATCTACATCTCAGTTTCACTGTTACAATTTAAAATGAAAGAGAAATCAACACTCCAGAAGAATCTATATAAAAATAGGGAGTGTAACTGACTTAATACAGTCCATCACTGACTCATATTTTCTGTAGATTAGTGTAATTAAGAATCAATGATAGTTAAAATCTGTTCCATTTAAATTGTAATTAGGTGGAAGATAACAGCACGTTGTTTCAGGTAACATTCTGAGTCAGGCTGATGAAAGACTCATTAGTACTGAAGAAATTCTTCAGGCAGGAAGACATAGCTGCCTGTTGCAAAGTCAATTTGGCTATGCTCCAGAAAAATACGTAAATGAATCAAACTGTAGCCAAGAAGACCAGAGAGAACTTTGAAAGCCAGGAGAAACTGCAAAAAAATAAGGCACAGGAAAGAGGAAATCGGAACAAGGACAGGGCAGTCACAGAGAACAACTTGGGTTCCTTTGCAAATAACGTCTTTGTGGTCAGACAACGTGTGTTTTAACAGTCATACATATTTAAGTGTGAGTAATACAGATTGAAGAACTGTTCCCTGGAAAACCGCAGTTACAAAGATAGAACCATTGCGAACAAACCAGAACACAAGCCATCCCCAGTTTCATGCTCCAGCAAAAAGAGGTGATTTTATACATGCCATTGACTAAGAGAGTACTGATACACGGCGTGCCATGCTCCGGTGTACACATTTTAAAAAGGCTGCTGAAAAAAATGGAGAGCTTGCAGAGAAGAGCTACCAAGATTTAGAGTTTAATCTCCCTAAGCCTATGAAAAAGGCTGAGCAGCAACTTGATTTCCCCTCTTCACGAGGAGAAAATAACAAGTACTAACGGGGATGTTTATTCGAGGGAATAAAAGCAAAAGAACCACCAAAGGCCAGAGGCTGCTGTGAGACACAGTCGAATTTAGAAATAAGGTAGACAACAAGGTGTGACATACTGCAAGTCAGACTAGACAGACCAGACAATCTAAACTCTCATTTCTAGTCTTAAATTACAGTAATTTATTAAATTAATCAATAAATAAATGTCAAGGAAAGCAACTGCAGCAGAATGAGATTAAAAGATGCAATGCATACTAAACCCGTGAACAGGGCTGCATGTGGTCAGAATAGAGTTTGTTGGCTGCTTCTGACTTGAGCAAATAATGAAAAAGATCATACCTGGCCACTTTAAAGTGGACCTGAGGCTACAGCTAATAGACATTTGTCCCACTTTAATGGGAAAGCAGAGCTGGATACAGACACAGCCAAGGATCTTGCAAGTACACTGACAGCCAGGGCACGAGAGAAAAAGCTGAATTTCTAGAACTAGCCACACGTTGTGAACCTGCTGTTACAATTTCAGGTTATGTGGATAGGGCTAAAGAGCATTACTGACGCTCTTTTTCATAAAAGAGGGGGTCACGTACTGGCCACAAGTCACAGAACACTTAGATCTGTTTCTACTGAGCTGCCACTTAACCAGTCAATCTGCACCGTGTATTCCTGCTTCTTTAGGAACATAACTTTGTACTTGTCCTTACTGAACTGCATCCTAATATTTCAGTGCTCCGTTTCATCAAGATCCATTCTAATCCTGCTGCCATGGTGCTTAAAGCCTCTCCCAGCTTTAAGCATCTGCAAATTTTATAAGCATCATCCATATTTCATAAGCCAAGTCAGTAATGAAAATATTGAATAATACCGCACCCAGAAAAAAATGTAAGTGGATTGTACTTCATGCAGCCTTCCAGGTTGGCAGTAAACAACGGATAACTACCTTCTATCATGATTTCCAAATTATTTTGCACATACCTTGTAGTAGCTTCAAGATCATTTTTTCACAAGAATTTTTTGGGGGAGACTACATGCCTGGAGTACCAACTTACTAACATAAGTAATTTTTGTCAGTAAGCATTAAGAAGGAATTCAACGATTTGAGATTCTCAAGGCCATCTTTTCATTAAAGGACATTCATGCTAAATATATTAAAAATAAATCCTACCGAGTATTTAATATCCCAAAGAATACAGTGCTTTACTTACATACATATTTTGCTTTGTAGGAAACAATAAAAATTGTAGGTTTGTAGGAAACCTTACCCTAATGACCAAGGAAAGATAAATTATTTTATTATACAATATAAATAGAATTGTAGTTGCCAAAAGGAAAGAAGATAAAACTACACCCTCATGCGATTAATTTATCCATAACAATCATTACTCCTTGCTTACACTGAAAATTCTTGTTCACAATTAGCAAGGATGTCCAATCCCCAGAAGGTGGAGCTAGTTAGCAAATCTAAAAGAGGGATTGCACTGTTTCTTGAAAACAATACTTATGAATGGACTAGTATTTTCTCATGTTTGTCCTTCTATTTTAAAGCAAGTTTAGTGTGTTAAGATCCAAATAAGAGGTGTATCACAGACTGAGGTCTCAGAAAAGACAACTCTAGAAAAAAAAAAAAATCTGTATCGCTGCTCAATCTTTGGTCTGTTAAAATCGCCATATGTCACTTGTTATGCAGGATATCCTGTTGCAAATATTCCAGCAAGAATATAAATCAAGGTCATTCATTAACAATGCACAAAGCTCCAAATATCCATCAGAAGCACTTACCTATAGCAAATACTGCAGCTTTTAAGTTGCTCCTTGAAACTGAGAAGCACTGCAAAACTGAAGGTTATGAAACAAAAAAAAGCATTGTATTTTGAAGCTTACAAGTAAATTCAGTAGAACTTGGAAAATAAAATTGTCTTGTATGCAAAGGATAAATATGGAATATTAATGAAATTCATAAAGAGATATTATCTGTAAAGGGAGCTTTAAAATCTTGGTCTAAGTTCAGGTTTAGATTATCCTGATCTATCTTGCCACAACGTTGTTGACATGTGAGGATACTGCTTGGTTATGAGCCACTGCTTGTACGTCCAAAAGAGTTTGGGAGAGGTGCTAGATGCCCTACAACTCCTCCTCCATGAGAAAATGGGCAGTCAGCTCCGAATCAGTTGTTGCTGTAAAGAAGATGCAGGGGGCCAACCATCGGCTCAGGACCTTTACTCCCACAGAGACTGATGATAGCTTTGGAGAATCACTCAGGGAAGGGAATAGTACAAATTATTGCTTTTGTGTTTAATGCATTCAAGGACTTACACACGTTTGACACTTCAGGTGTCAAATTTCTTTTAAGTTAAAATTGCAAGATTTACATCCTCAACACAGCAGAAAATCCTTTGAAAAAGACTGAAGAATTAACTGAATGACTAAACATCTCAAAAAAGACATTAGGAGCAAGAACATAAGCAACAAGGAGACTACAGGATGACTGTCAGGTCGCTCAAATGGCAAGGGCAGCCTGTCCTGTTTGGAATATTTAGCATCCAAACAAAAGAGTCAAAGCCTACTGATGAAGCAAGAAAACCCAATTCAAAAATCGTGCCAGTCAGCCTTTGGAAAGGAAACTAAAACAAGGCATAAAAGCCAAATACATTAAAATGGAAAATGGAAGGATAAAATTAAAAGAAGTAGTATCACCACTATGCAGTTAGTGTAAGATTAAAACAAGAGTATGTGCAGCACTAAGTAAATACTCTACTTCCATTGCTAACAGAGAGTTGTGGAAGTTCTGTTTGCGACAGGATTCACCCTTCGGTTTCTGGAAAATGCCCTTCAGTCCCATGTTCTCTTAATCAACATGCCTGCACAGGCAAATGACCTGCAAAGCACCCAACTAGTCATTTCTACATGCTAATACTCAAGTTGCAATATGTCAAACTGCATGTTAAATTTGATAAAGTTTGGCAGAAAAGCAAGCTCCTGCTCTTTTCAAAATCAGACCCATTGAAGTGCTTATTAAAATGTGCTGGTAATCAAACAGGAAAAGCCCTAAGGCTTTGGAATAGCACTTCTATCTCCTTTTGCCCTGGCAACAGAGAAGCCAATTCTGTCACTGCTGTCTGCACCACCTAAAAATGAGTGGAAATCTTTGATGGCTTCAAATTTCAAGTCACCTGAAAATTTAAATGGTATGA